CCATCGCCGAGCAGACATCACCATCTGATCACACGACACATCACACACACAGCATCATGCCTTCAGCAATCGTTACCGGCGCGACTGGTAACCTACCCTAAAGCCCCAGTCTCTCAAGGAAAGACTGAAAAGGTCCCTCTGTACCGAAGCTGACAGATCCCCAGGTATCCTCGGCCGCGAGATCGTCAACCGCCTCGGCGACAACTCAGATCAGTGGCAAACAGTCTACGCCCTTTCGCGCTCTAAAAAGGGTGCCTTCCCCGCCAATGCCCAGCACAAGTCGATCGACCTGACGGGCTCAGCCGACGACATGGCCGCGAGCCTCGAGGGCGTCCAGGCCGAGTACGTCTTCTTCGCCGCCTACCTGGAGCAGGACACGGAGCAGAAGGCCTGGGATGTCAACGGTGCCATGCTCGAGTCCTTCCTCGCGGCGCTCGAGCGCACCGGCGCCGCCCGGTCCATCAAGCGCGTTGTTCTCGTCACGGGCGCCAAGCAGTACGGCGTGCACCTCGGCCCACCCAAGAACCCGATGCTCGAGTCGGACCCCTGGCTGCGCGACGAGGGCCGATTCCCGCCCAACTTTTACTACCGACAACAGGACGTGCTGCGGGCCTTCTGTGCGCGAACAGCCTCTTCGTCCGGCGGCGAGGGCGCGTCCTGGACCGTCACGTACCCGAACGACGTCATCGGCGTGGCCAAGGGCAACTTCATGAACCTCGCCACGGCGCTGGGTCTGTACGCTGCCGTCAACAGGGAGATGGGCCGCGACCTCGCGTTCCCCGGGTCCGAGACGTTCTACACGCGCTTTGACTCGTTCACGGACGCGAGACTGCACGCCGAGTTTTGCGAGTGGGCGGCCCTCGAACCCAAGGCCGCCAACGAGGCGTTCAATGTCGTCAATGGCGATATCGAGAGCTGGCAGAACATGTGGCCCATGCTGGCGAGGCGGTTCGGCAGCAAGGTCAAGGAGGACCAGTTCGTCGGCGAGGGTGAGGACGCCGGCTCGAAGAAGCTCAATGACCCGTCCCCCCTCAGCATCTTTGAGGCCGAGTCGGGTCTCAGGGGCAAGGTCGAACCGGGCAACCTCGAGTATAGGACTGATCTCGTCAAGTGGAGCCAGCGTGACGATGTCAAGGAGGCATGGGAGAGGCTGGCTGAGCGCGAGGGCCTCGACAAAGAGGCTTTCGAGAAGGCGACTTGGGGATTCTTGGTTTTCATTCTGGGCCGGGCCTATGATCTCGTCATCAGCATGAGCAAGGCGAGGGAGATTGGATGGACTGGGTGAGTACTCAACTCAGACTTCCGGGATGAATGAATGCTCGTGCTGACATATTTTCCAGTTACAAGGACACGTGGAAGGCTTTCTCCGATGTATTTGCGCAGCTGGAGGCTGAGAAGGTTCTGCCCAAGACTCACTGAGGGTGTCATGCGGCGCAGAAGAACGTCTTTGATTCGAGGCTAATATCGTGATCATCTGAGACGATTTCAGGAAGCCAAATGACTTTCTGTGATCAAATGGGTATCACCAACCACGTAGTTCGCAATGAAATCTAACCCATAACTCCGTATCCTTGCAACCCTCATATCCAAACCCATACTCATTATTTCGTTGCTTCAAAAATGAGTTGCGGCAGCTCAAAGAGCCTCAAAGAATTTCATCCACCACAGTGCTCTTCGTTCGCCTTGATGCACTCACGAAAGGGTCTTGAGCTGCATTAGTGCCCTCTCTTCGTCGAACAGCACAACTACGTCAGTATGGCCTCTGTTGGCGGCAAGGTCAATCGGCGTATCGCCATCAACATCCACGTTGTCGAGGTTGGCACCGTTATCGAGCAGAAGTCTCGCGATGGCAGGGAACCCTCCATATGCCGCCATACTGAGGGCCGTCCAGCCCCATCGATCTTTGGCGTTGACATCCATGCCCACATGGATCAAGTCGGCCACCTTTTGCAGGTTGCCATCGCTGGCAGCCTCAATAATGGCAGTGTCTTTGACCACGATTCTCTGCAGCAGCCGACTTACGGCCATACGTCGCTTCGGCTTGACGAGCGGCCAGTTGGGTGCCTCGCCATCCTCTGGCGTCGGCAGCAGGCTGTTCGTACGCTTTAGCTGGACCTTTTGCTCAAAGTCCTCGTTGGCGGCGCACAGAGTGATCGTGCTCGGCCTGCGACTGCCGCCGTTACTTCCGTACCCCGAATCCGTAGCCGGGCTGAACGGCCCAAACAGCGTCTGGCTGCTGCTGCTATTGCTCGTGATGGACCGGCTCGAGACGGATGGTTTGCGGTTTGGTGATTCAGTGTCAGGCACGGACTCGTCGAGTAAGCCGTCAGCAAGGGCTTCCTTCATCCATTTCACGATGTAGTCGCGGTTCTCCTCGACCACCATCGCGCTGATCCCTACGTCTTCGAGTTCTCTGCGGAGCTCACTCCAGGTCTGCGGCGAGTCGAGCGTCTCGACCACATCTTCGACGGTGACGACGGATCCCTCACGTAGTCCGGCTTGGACTTCCATCATAAACTTGTTCAGGCGCTTCTCGATCCTCATGGTTGATGAGCTAGCGGGCATCGACGTCAGCAAGGAACCGAGGACAGGACACTGAAGGAATGAGGGGCTCTCACTTGATCAGCGCAATGTTGAATGCGCTCAACATGGTTGTTGATGAGATGAGACGCGAGCGAAGGTCGGCCAGCTCCTGGAGTCCGAAGCGCATGCGGTCCCATGTGCGCTGTGCCTGGGTGCCGAGGCTGTCATACCTTGTGATGAGCGATTCTAATTCGTCCAGAATGGGTTTGCACGCGTCACACAGCATGTGCAGGCGGTTGATACGCGACGTGTCGAGGTCGGTATGCTCCTGGAGGTAGTCCTCCGTCTCTCTCAACACGGCGTGCAACGACATGAGGTCGGTCGACACCTGCTTGAAGTCTTCGCTTGCATCCTTGTAGGCTTTGAACAACTTCCAGGCTAGACCCGAGACGAGGACAACGTCCCCGATTCCTACACCAAAACTCATGATGGATCAATTGCTGGATAAAGAAGGTCGATGTCGAGTCGGACACGAAGACGCACGCTGGTGGATGCGATGTGGTAGGCGGTCGCCACTTTGCACCAACGACAACGGAAGACCGGCCAGTCCAAAGGCTAGAGAAGCACGCAACGGAATCCTGTTTGTCGAGAAGAACGCCCGATGAACATGGTCGTTGTGAGAGCCTCAGCAATAGTGAAGCGAAAGGGGCGTTCGTCTGGCGTGTCCGTGGCGAGGCAGATTCGTAGCCTTTATGGCGGGCGTTTTCCCCTTCCCCTCCCCGCCAAGGGTACCACGAGCCTCCGTTGTCCTGGGTCTTCAGGGTGCTGCTCGTTGAGGGAATTCGGGCTGAAGATCACTGGGGACGGGTCGGCTCGTTCACTGGTCGGAAGGATCATAAGGCCCATTATGTCGTCTAGATAAGACGAAGGGGGTGCATGCCCTGGTGCGTTGTGGCGTTGAAGCGTATTTACAATTGGACTCGTCTCGCGACACTGACAGGCTCCGCCTCGGGCAACCTGTCAGGCGCACCCAATCCAGCGCAGCTTCCTGCAGCCAGCGACAGGGAAACGGCCAGCCACCAGCGCTTGCCGTTCAGCCTTTCATGCCTTCCCTAACAATCCCCTAGTCGCTCGTTCCTCCCCCCTCAAACCGGCCCCTGCTTGCTCTTCCCATAAGGTAGATAGAGCTGAAGAAGTCCTTCCACCCATTCCACCCTCCGCCTCCTCGACACACAAGCCCACCCCCCGGGACCGTTGATCAACTGCCGCCAACATCTCATCTTACTCGCTGACACGCTTCCGGACTTGACTCCCCTCCCTCCCCCCATAGCACACTCGGCGACCATGCCCCCGCCAACGGCCACCCCCCCCTGCTGTGCAACCTCACATTGGAATCATCGGAGCGGGTGTTTCAGGCCTCCGCTGCGCTGATGTGCTGTTGTCCGAAGGCTATCAGGTTACCATTCTCGAGGCTCGAGGCCGCATAGGAGGCAGGGTAAGGCACCCGTCCCGGCTAACCGCGAGCCTTACGAGTTGCCAGGGCCGTGGCTGAGACTATTGAACAGATTTGTCAATCAGATGGCCTCGGATACACAGTCGATATGTGAGCTCTGATACCCCAGAGAGCCTTATTTGCCCCTCACTTAGGACAACCTGTCGAGAGCCCCTACATGCTGACTTTGTCTCCTTTTCGTAGTGGGCCGAACTGGATACACGCGCAAACAGAGAATTCGGAGCCACACGCCATATCCCGCCTGGCCGAGGAGACCGGAACGCCTATGCACAGCTGGAACGACAAGCAGCTCATATTCGATTCCAATGGCAGTGCAGTACCTGCCGACACGACGGAACGATTGTCGACCCTATTGTGGGAGATAATCGAAGAGGCTTTCAACTTCAGCGCCGATGCGCAAAAAAGCACTTCAACCATTGACAACGACGCTTCTCTCTATGACTTTATTCGGGATCAGGCCAGGGAGAAGCTTTCTGACGAAAATGAGCGGGCACTTCTGCTCAAGATGAGCGAGATGTTTGGAGCTTATATCGGCGAGCCGGTGTGGCGTCAGAGTCTCAAATTTGCTTGGATGGAGGAGTGCTGCGGAGGAGGTACGTGACTGCCGTCGCTTTGATCTGCCCTCATCTCTCCCCACCCATGCATGTGTTTGTTTCTCACTAACAAACATCAGAGGAGCTGTTTGTCGAGTCCAACTACTCAAAGATATTGGCCAAGATTGCTCAACCCGTCGAGAGCCGTGCCCGTATACTCTTGAACACCTACGTCAACTCGATTTCCTCGTCCGAGGCAAGGGAGCCTGACGGCAAAGTCCATGTCGGTACCAAAAACGGAGACTCTCTGGCTTTTGATGAGGTTGTCGTCACCACGCCGCTGGGATGGCTCAAGCGAAACCAAGACGCTTTCACGCCCCGACTGCCGGCCCGCATCTCATCCGCCATTGAGAACATATCGCTTTCCCAGCTCGAAAAAGTCTTCATCACCTTTCCTGCTGTTTTCTGGAATGTACAGCCCGAGTTGGACGATTTCCCTTGCTATACCAACTGGCTGACACCGGAATACGCCGAAGGCTCGAACCCCCAACGCTGGCCTCAGGAGATCTGGGACCTTTCCACCTTCAGATCGCCAAACAACCACCCGACGATTCTCTTCTACACTTACGGCGACTGTGCCAGACACATCGTCAACGCCATATCTGACATGTCGCGAGAGGATGAGCACTCCTTCCTGGATGACTTTTTCCGTCCATACTATTCTCGTCTTCCCAACTACAGCCCCGATAATGACAACTGCAGGCCCAAGGCAATACTCGCCACAAAATGGCTAAAAGATGACCTCAACGGCAATGCGAGCTACTGCAACTTCCAGGTCGGAGTGCACGAAGCTGATGAGGACGTGTTGACCTTCAGGAGAGGTTGCCCGGATCGCCGGCTCTGGTTCAGCGGAGAGCACGCCGCGCCCTTTGATGAGTGTGGCACAGTTGCTGGTGCTTACTTGAGCGGCGAGGCTGCTGGCAAGAGAATTATCGCAACATATGCCTGAATTGCTTCATCAGCATGCGAGCTCGTTTCGAAATTTACTATCATCTACGAGTTCGGACGGCTTTGACGGCAAGAAGCAGGAGATACTTTTTGCTAGATTTCTGGACACGATGAATACGCGACTTCAGGAGACTCGGGCCACGTCATGGTGGTCGTCTTTCATGACAGGTGCCGAAGTGCCGGCACCTACATGGCACGGATGGCTCGCGTCGCGAAACTCAATTGAGCAGGAGGTCTGATGCGGGAACTGTGATGGGGGCGGGATCGGGTCATCCGAACTTATGCCTGACGTTTTTCAACGCGTGCCCGGCACGAGCGGCAGAGCTAACTCCAATTCACGAATCGCATCAGTTTGAGATGAAGCTCCTGGGCGCTCGGGTCACAACCAGAACGAAGTTCCAACGCTTGACAGTTCACATCCGCTAGGTGGAAGTCTCGGTGCCTTGCATATTATTCCAAGGATATAGGGATGAAGTGCCCTCCCTGATGCTCCTACCTAGCCTCAGATCCCCCACACCCACCAAAAAGATGCTCGGCGAGCATTGATCAGTCGCTCGTTTCATTCGTTGTCCCCTGCGTTCCACCCGGCAGGCGGACAATCTGGTTGTGAAGTCTTTTAGCGTTCAAAACAGGTGTCTGGTAGGGTAACATGTGACTCCTGGCCGGCACAGTCGAGAACAACTACTTGGTGAAATTAGGCTCTCAGATGCCGGAAGCTATTTGTTTTCCGTCGAATTGCAATATAACCAGATGCGCCGTCTGATCTCCTGAAATTGTTTAAAAGGCTCCTGGTCCTTCATGGTTCACCTACCTCTACTTTGAACCGTCTCTCATTCTAAACGTACCTATTCACACATATCGTCTGTCGCCGGTCGACGCTTCTTTTCTCGGCCCTTAACAAAATCAGTCCTTTCCAGTTCGAATTTTCCCTAGCGAATATCACACACAAGCTCCTTCGCTTTCCAATATGGCTCGCCTTTCCATCCCGGTTCTCCTCGCCGTCTTCTCGGCCACGGCCTCTCTCGCCTCGAAGCAAGCCTCTGGCTCCGCAGCCCCCGGTCCCGGAGCCCCAGGCTTCGGAGCTGCAGGTTTCGGAGCTGCAAGCTCCGCTGCGTGCCAGCGGGCCGTCCTCTTAGCCGAGGGCATCAAGCTCAACATTGACGACCAGAACAACGAGGTGTTGTCCCTAACCGCAGTCAGCAATGCCCTGAACGCCAACGACGCAGCCGCCTTCCAGGCCGCCAAAACGGACCTCCTCGGCTTCGTCAACAGCGGTATCGAGATGCGCAAAATGAATCAGGCCATCGCGCCCGCCGGCAACAAGGCTATCGCGGGCCTCGCCATCGTCGCCAACGCCCAGACCGAGGAGCTTAACCTGTCCAACAGCCTAAGTGGGGACCCCGCTAAGAAGGCGGCGGATCTTAAGACGGTTGACACGCTGAAGGCTGACTTTGCGGGCGGGATCAAGCAGAATATGCAGAACATGGCCGACGTGAGTATTACTGTTTCCCCTATGAACAAATAGCAAGCAGTAATCTGTGGTGCTTCCGGGCTTTCGATACATTGATGTGCTGACGTGCCTTGCTTCAGGCCCTTTCTAGCTGTGGAGGTATGCCACCTCCTGACGTTTTCAACTTGACGGCCTTCGCACCTCCACCTGCACCCGTCCCCGGTGCTGGTGCCAATCCGTTCCAAGGCAAGGGGTTTTGGAAGCTCTTCCGCGCGTGATCTGCGCCAATTACGATTTGAGTCAATGTGAACAGCGTAAAGGGGGAAGGGGGGGTATCTAGCAGAGCCGCTCCTCGTTTGCAAGCTGTGTCATTCGTGCCGCTGTGCGATACGGAGCTGGTACGTGTAAGTCAAGGACGAGTCACCAGTTGGGGAACATTGTATTCTCTTTTGTCGTTGGTTTTCTTTTACCATGAGCCTCTTGCAATGGAGACTGAGACGCACACAAAGCGCAAAATGTCACATATGGACAGAGAAACATAGAGCAAAGCTTGCATTAAAGAAAGATTTTGGTTGAATTCCAGATTCTGGATATGCCTCAATCCCATGCCAATATTTCACACACTGTTCAGTAGGTGTACCTAAAGTTGTGGTTCTCGAGGTCGGTGCTGTCCGTCCTGTCCGCTTCCAGTCCAATCTGGAGATCATCCTGTGGCTTGCCGTACTTCGAGTCGCGCCTCTTGTTCTCTGCGATGCACAAAAAATAGTAAGAGATTCCCGCAAAGGCCATCAGTGCAAAAGCGCACAGCATGCTGCCGATACCGAGTGGGTAGTGAGGAGCCTGCCGCTGCAGGTAGAACTGGGGACCAACAATGTTGCCAACCGCTGGTGAGGCGCCCTTTATTAGTGATGTGACTCGACTCCATGTGATGATCAAGGGCTACATACCATAAACAACGGCGATTGAGATGCCCATGAAACTTTTTTTCGTGGCTCCGGCCGTGTTGGAGGACGACAGACTCAGCATGAACACCCACGGGACATTGTAGAAGCCCATGAGGTAGACACCGGCCAAAGATGCGTTCCGCTGGGTCCCGGCGTCGAGCGAGTGCACCATGACGGCACCGGCCATGCCGACCAGGGACGAGAAGATCCAGAAGATGCAGCGCACGTTGGGCACCCAGAAGGTGATGGCCGTCAGTATGGCGCCGCTGACCATGGCCACGGCCGCCTGGGGCGTGGCCATCAGGACCGTCTTCGTCCTGCTGAAGCCGTAGCCGGCGATGATCAGGGGGTTGAAGTTTGTGACGCCTGCGTTGGCAATGGCGTAGCCGAAAGCGCAGGCCCAGATGCAATAGCACTTTGGATCGCGCAGCGTCTCTAGAATCTGCTTTGCGCTGAAGGTCTGTAACGGAGCGTCAGGCAAGGACTGCTCGGCGGCATGTAGAGCCCTTCCCAAAAGATGGAGAAAAGCGACAGTCCTGGGGGGAGACTCACCTTGTGAGAGTCGATGCCCGTCTGGTTCTCGGCAAGACGGACAAGAGCAAGTTTCTTCTCGGTTTCGTTGAAGAACCAAGCTTTGGAGGGCGAATCGGGCAATGCGAAGAATACAAGACCTCCAGCGAGCACCGTAACTGCGCCGTAGATGATAAAGATGTACTGATTGCCAGTTAACAAATGTTCTGAGAGTTTGACTAAGTGTAGTCACCTTCCAGGTAGCTAGAGACCCGTCGATCTGGCCGATAGCGTATGATAGAATGCCGCCAAACACACCAGCGAAGGTGTTGTACCAGAATGCGGTTCTCAGAGGCTGCTCCTCCTTCCGATACCACATGGAGTTGACGATCATCATGCAGGGCAGCAGGGCGGCCTCAAATACGCCGAGTAGGAACCGGATCGTCGCCAGGCCGGCAAAGTTATGGCACAAGGCCATGAAGCAAAGCGACGCTCCCCAAAGAACAAGGCAAACTCCGACATATTTTCCAATGGGAAGCTTGGTCATCAGCCATAGGTTGGGAAACTCCATGGCCAGGTAGCCGAAATAGAAGATGCTGCTCAGCCAACTGTACTGCTGACCCACCAAGTTGTTGTCTTCTCTCAAGCCGAACACGGCTGCATATCCAAGCGCGTTCTGCACCCCCGTCAATTTGACCGGTCAGGGGGTTTTGGGAGAATCATACGTGTCGCATACCTTGTCGAGAAAAGCTAGTGTCATGCTAAGGATTGCCAGAGGCATCACAACCAGGTCGGTCTTGAGCAAAAGCCGACTGGCTTGCGCTTTGCTCAAGCTCTCGGTCGAGCCCTGGTCGTCCGTGACCAGCACGGCGTCGGTGTTTCTCGGTTCCTTCTCCGATGACATGATGTCACTGATGTTGGAGGACATGGCGTTGGCTCGGAGGCAAGGTTGATAGCGGCAGAGCCGGCTCAAATTCAATTGCGAGGATCAGATGTGGACGATTGGCGCTGAATCTCGCACTTCTGCACAGAGTGAATCTCACAATCTGCAGGATCTCATGGCAGCCTTTGGTGCCAGGAGCTCCTCACATTTTGTACATCGCATTGCTCGTCGAGGGCCGAATTGCGTGATGGTGTTGAAGCTCAAGAAGTGAAGATAGCTGATGACGTGACGGTTGGCTGGTACAGATGGGCCCCTTTTTTCGGCCGTCACCGAGGGTCACCTCGGACAGTACCGAGAGAGCCATCAGCTCAGCAGCACCACGCTTCGTGTTCTTTTACCAAGCGTGAGCTTATGTTGTGGACAGCAATCGCCTTTCGTGACAGGGCTCCCAACCAGAGAGCGCAAAGGGGAAGAAGAGTCAGTCGCGTTCTCATCCTTGGTAGTCGATCGCATTGGTAACTCACGCCATCTACCTCTGTGCTCTTCGTGGCACATTGCCTTACCAGTTGAAACATAACGAGCTAAGTGAATGCAGATAATTGATTGTGTGCGATGAAAGCCTTTCTGCAGCCCTTAAACAAGTGAACTACAGTTTGGATTTGAAGTTCCTGAGATCCCGTGTTGCTTCGACTTCCGCCGTGATCTCGTCCCGACTTCTGCTCACATCTTGAATCACGAGCTCTGCATAAAGCTGCTGGATCCTCTCGGTGATCACGCCCCTCTTGCCGTCTCCAATCTGTCTCCCATCCACTTCCACGACATGCAATTGAGATGGAAAAGTCCCCGTGCAGAAAGCCTCGTCGGCTCCGTACACCTCCGTCAGGCTGAAATCCAGCTCTCGCACCGTGATCCCGTTGGCACGACATACTTCGATCGTCTTTTGACGCGTGATACCCTGCATCTGGTTGTCTTTTGTCGGAGCCCAGACCTCGTCTCCTCGGATGATGAAGAAGTTGACCGAGTTGCATGTTTTCACGAACCCCCGAAGGTCGAGCATCAGTGCCTCATCTACGTTCATAACGTTCGCGCTGATGCAGGCCTGAACATCTGTGGCCTTGGAGATGTGGTTCCACTGTTCATCCTTGACATCGGGTGGGCCTCGGCGCACCCAAGTCGTTGCGAGGCGCAGGCCGCGAACCTTTGACGCCGGATCGATCGCCTTGACCTCGGGAATGATGACGATAAGAGGCAAACCGATGTTGACATGTGGGTTTTGGTATGGTGTTGATTTGAGGCCACGGCTGACAACCAGACGAATATGGACATGGGGTTCCTCACCCATTTCGTTGGCGTCAAGGGTCTGGTGCAATAATTCTAGCAATTCGCCCTTAGTCAGGCCGAGATCCATGAACATGGCTTTGGCTGATTGGAATAAGCGGTTGATATGCTCGCGTGCGAACTGGATTCGCCCTCTGTTTGCGCGTATCCCCTCCTTTCAAAAATTGTTAGGCAAGTTCCGTCGGAAGAAGATCACAACTCACCCAGATGCCGTCGCCGACGAGAAAATTAGAGTCAAAGACCGACACTACAGCCTCTTTTCTCGGAGTCAAGTAGAATTTCCCTGTGATGCCATCACGCATGCCGACCTGTATCACGGTCAGCTTTGGGGCCGACTACGTTCGAGTGTTTTCTCTTATACCAAGATTGAGTCATTCTTCGAGTTGGGCACCACCGCATGTGTTGACGCAACGTTGATGCTGTGAGATGCTGTTTCGTCTGATGAACCCATCGCTTTTGTCAAGTCAGACCGAGGAACGCTTGTTCAGCCGTGATAATTGCGTGCTTCCTGGAAAATCACTCTGCGGCTTCGAGAAATATAATGAAAGTGAAGAGGCGTATGATGAGAACGGGCGACGCCGAACTCGTTCGATACTCTACCACTTGCGTCATACTCGGTTGAGACCGACGCTGTGGAGCTTGTCCAAGAAAAGACAGGGCACCATGTTCGCAGAGATGAGCCACCTTTGACACTAGGTCTAGAAGGAGCATCCGCACGTCAACCTAGAACTTATTGCAAACACTATTGAAGCTGCTCGGAAATCCTCAATTCGTTATCTCACGATCTTCAAAGTATCGCTCCTCCGAGGTGTTCCGACACCACCCGCGAAGACAATGGTTTCCTTGACGCTACCCTGGCCTGACTCGCGCACAGTTGAGAATGAGGGGTTACAACGAGCATCAGCACGCAATCCCACGGGTCTCGTCGTTTTCTTGCGGCCCCTCGGTCTTGTCCGAGCCCCCAGTCGTTTTATGTCGCCTAGACATCTGCCCTCTCACGGCAGATACCGCCCCAGCTGGCCAGTCGCCACATTCCATCGACCATGGATATCGACTGGAGTCTAGGCTTCCAGCCTTCATTTTCGAAAGCATGCAGCCGATGCCATGCACGGAAGGTCAAAGTAGGTGGCCCAGCATGTCGCAGCCACGTGGGACTTTTCCCTCCCTGGTGACCACGAGCTAACCCTCACCAATAGTGTGATCAGCGAGTGCCTCGTTGCATGCGATGTGAGAAACAGGGCGAGGACTGCAACATCACCGAGTTCGTTGCATACTCTTACGCAACCGTAGGAAGCTTGCAGGTTCAGATCCGTGATCTACAAGCCAAGCTGGCCATCGCGAGTCAGAATGCAGCCGTGAACCAGACGACCATCACGGTCAGCGAGGCCCAGATCGCGATGCCAGCAGCCCCGCCCCCGCCTATGCGGGCCGGCCAAGCACCTTGGGTGGGTGTCGGGAAAGAAGCCGAGGAGGTCGGGTTCCTAGCCATTGGCGGTCGAAATAGGCACTCGGATGACAAGTACGGTACGTGAACCAGGACGTGACGCCTGCCAGGACCTCCACGTGGCTGTCGCTGATGCCAGGTCTCATTGCAGTCGGCAGTGCAACGGGCTCAACTTTTGCTCGCATCTTTTTCAAGCAGCTTAATCTCGTTGCCCCCGCCATGACAGGTCGATATGGAGACAGCCTGGAGCAACCTCCTTCGGAACGGATGGCCTCTCTACCTTCGCAGGCCGTCGCAAGTTTCCTGCTCAGGCAGTATATCGCCCGTGTCCACACGTGGTGGCCTGTACTTCAGCTTCCAATCCTGCGGCGGACGTTCCGTGCCATTTACGAGGACCATCGCAAGTGCGGCGAAGCGGACAAGTTCGTCGTCTTTGTCGTCCTCGGTCTTGCCAGCAGCGAGTCTCAGGACCATAAGGAGTACCAGAGCCTGATGGACATGAATGAGTCACTGGCATATTTCCAAACGAGTCTTCGGTTCTTTAAAGACTTCCATGACCATCCGCGTGATTTGTTTGGCATTCAGGCGGTGATACTGCTCACCATCTGGATGCTCAACTCGGCAGCAGGGAGTGATTGCAACGACCTATGGCACTTATCGAGATATATCATGTCAGCCGCGATCGAAGCTGGCCTTCATCGCCACAACACAGACTGGGGATTCGGCGCCGAGGAACTCGAAATTCGTAATAGGACCTGGTGGTGTGCCTACAACTTAGAAAGGTGAGGCACGAACCCATGTGTGTCATGTGCAAGACTAACCATCAATGTAGACAAGCAGCTATCGTCACAGGCCGCGTCCTCTCAATACGAGATCACGCCATACATGCGCTGATGCCAGTGCCCCTGAGCTTCGATGCCCTGAGCGGCCCCGAGGCTCTAGTTGCGCCGGTCTACCACAAACACACAGTCAGGCCATTCAGTCTAATGATACGCCTCCGCCAGATATCGGGTCGAATTCTAGAGTCGATTTACATCGGCAGGGGGCCCGATGGCAAGGCGCTCGCGACGTCATTCCAACAGATTTGTACCATGTCGGACGAGTCGCGGCGGGACTTAACGCAGTGGAAGCAGCATCTTGATGAGGCAGATCTCAAGCCCTCCCGCGAGTACTCGGAGATGAAGATCGAGTACTGTATCCTCCAGCTCCTGCTCAACCGACCGAGTCCTACGTTTATGGTGCCCTCAAGCCCCATGATCGCCACCTGTTCCAAGGCTGCAGCGAGCGCCATTCACCAGTGGTCCAAGATTGAGGCTCGGTATGGCATCTCGGCTGTCTGCCGCTGCTTCAGACAGCTCCATGCCATCCTCCTGGCAGGCTTGGCCGCACTCTACTGTGATTGGTAGGTCCTCATGATACTTCGAGATAATGCTCACGGCACAAAGACAAAGAGCTAACAACAGTCCTCGTACTCCCAGGCAGGCCATGGCTATGGCAAGAGAAGCTGGACCAACGACTTCCACCCGCAGACATCGGCACTGGAACGACACAGCGACCTGCCTTGACTTGCTAGAGCGCGGCATTGCGCAACTCAAACTCACAGGCCTCAACAAGTACAAAGACCTGCTCCAAGCTGTGAGGAACAAGGTCTACGCCGAATCGATGGCCCCGCCACGCACAGCAATCACACCCCAGGAGTCATTCATGGGGCCCGAATCCCTCGACTCCATGTCTGTAGGCAGCATGGGCTACGACGGCGGCTCGAGCCTGCTGTTCGCTGAAGACAAAGGAATGGAGACCTACTTGAACCAGGTTACGGGGTTCTTCGACGGGGGCATCATGGACATGGACGAGGCACTGAATGCTTGGTATGGCGCCGTCATGGAGGAGATGCAGCCGATGCAAACGGGGCCGTACGAGCAACGAGAGTAGACTCACGACCAGTGCCGTCCTGGCCATGTCATCGGCACACGTCGGTCAGTCGCGCGCTGGCGACGCGCACCCCAAAACAACAATTGGAAAGTTAAAAAAAGAGGCAAAAAGGATTCTTTCAAGGTGAAAGACCTCCCGGTGGGACTCGAACCCACAGCCTTCGGATCAGAAATCCACTGCGCTACCATTGCGCCACGGGAGGATGGTTGTCCTGGCCGGCAACCCGCGTACTTTATATGGCAGACTTACTCGTGGACTGTGATGAAACGGCTCCCCACGACCCTCAGATGGCGACAGCACCTCAAAAGAGCGGCGCGGGAATCCGAAAATATTGTCGTGTACAAAAGCGAATTTCAGTTCCATACTTGGTCTCAGCTATTTTCTTCGGTTTGTTGCTGTAGCGAAAGGCATCATCACGGGATGAAGACGTTCCTGCCGACTCGGGGACTTCCCCACGGAAACCAGTGTTCAACCAGGCAGAAATTCCCCACCCAGGGAAAAATGTAGTGAACTACAGCGGGGTCATTCCATCCCAAAGGCCATGTGGCAGTCATTTAGGAGATATTTTCCGCATGATGTTTAACTTTCGAAATGTCTCGTGGCCACTGCAGGCGGATCCCCTGTCACAACAGTCCGA